CTCTTTTTGCAGAGGCTGTGGGGTGAGGTGTTGCGTTGCCTGTGTAGGAACAGCAGCGTCTCCTCGCTGTGGAGATTAGATTTTTGGACTTGATGGGTGTGTGTGTTTCCTTTGGCTTGTTTCGTGACCCCCTGTTCTTTCTTGGTGCTCGGTGACCCTCTGACGGGGCAGACGCCTGACTTTGCCTTGGTTTGTCTCTTAGCTGAGGTCGGGGGGTGCGCAAGTCCTGGAGGGCTGCATTGCTGAGATCCACAACATCACCAGCCTGGACATCTCCGACAACGGTGAGTCACGCGTCGGGAGAGACGCCGAGATAGGATCTGAAGCAAGTTGGAAAAGGGAAGGTGATCTTAATGATAATATCAGTTCATTTCTCGACTGATGGGGCTTTCAAATTTAACCATAGAGCTTACGGGTAGCATAGATCTGTGCCAGAGTCTCACGAAGTTGGTTTCTAAGGCCAAATATACAAGCTCTGTGGAGTAAAATACCACTTTGAAAACAATAGCATCCAGGGCCGGGGGTGCAGCTCAGTGGTAGAGTGCTGGCCGAGCATATGCAGGGCCCTGGGATCCGTCCCCAGCACTGCCCATAGTAAGTGGGTGTCCAGCCACAGCAGTGCAGAGCTGGGCGATGCTGTGCGGGCAGGTGTCGCAGGTGTCCTGTGTCACGTGTGTTTTGACTCTCCTCACTCTGATTCTTTCCAGGTTTAGAATCTGACCTCTCCACCTTAATAGTGTGGCTCAGTAAAAACAGATCAATACAACACCTGGCGCTAGGCAAAAATTTTAATAATATGAAATCCAAGTAAGAGTTTTGCATTTTTTTCTTTATATGACAATGATGAAAATAACCAGTCTCGTGAAAGCTTTTGATTTGATTCCACTGTCCACATCTTTAAAATCCCTTTAGAAATCTGACACCTGTGTTGGACAACTTAGTACAGATGATCCAAGATGAAGAATCAGTGAGTATTGTTTTCCATGCTTTTGACTAACGCCTTTTATTTGTTGCCGTTCTTACTGACTGTCTCTACGGGATTCATGCCCAAATGCTTACAGATGATTCTACCCAAGCATCCATGTTCTGTTGTTAAGTCTTAAAAAATGTAGAATAAATATTTATGCTTTCGTAGCGTTGGAGGATGTCTTTAGACATTTATTTGTTCTTCATTCCGTTCAACTCATCACCAGCCACAGGAATGTTGTAAATCATAGCTGACAGGAGGTCGGCTCCTGAGTCTGTCTTCTCATTAGCCTTCCCACTTCCTAACTCGGGCTCCCACGCAGACCCTCGGGTGATCCCTTATGCTGAGGAGCATCCTGCTGCTGCCGACGAGCTGCATCTCGTGATTGTGTGGAGTTCACAGACAGGAAGTCTCCGCAGCTTAAGTGGCTGCTTCAGCTCCAGCACCTCTCCCTGTATTCCCCTCGCCTTGAGTGGCTTCCCACCAAGCTTAGTTCAGGGTGAAGACGTCTGACTTCAAACGCAGTCCTGGCTTGCCGCCTCTAAAGAGGACAGGTGTTTTACAGACAGAGAGCACCCAACCACGCGGCCATTTAATTTAGAGCTGGGGCTTCCTACCTTGTATGTCACCCGTACTGTGGAAGATTGTGTCCTAGTTGGTCGCCACACTCGGCTTTTATGGTTCCTGAAACCCAGACCCATGCATTCCTCCTGTGAAGAGGCCCATCCTTCATGGCCTGTCATGCCTTCCCTGTCACGGTTTGGAAAAGTATTGGTTTTCCTTTTGAATTCACACGGGGACACGAGGGCAAATCCCATAACCAGGGTAAGCTGAGGTTCCTGAGGAGGCCTCGAGCCCAGAGGGAGGGAGGGCAGAGGTGTGCTCCTCACCCCGGGCTGCGCTGTGCCCTGCCTGTCGGGTGTGCGTGAACTTCCCAGTGTGCGTGAACTTCCCAGTGTGCGCGACCCAGTGGCCCCTGTTGTCACTGAAGGACTCAGCACTTCTCTGTCCTCCCTTGCTAATAAGCCCCATATTTTGTGACTCTTCCACTGGATTATTAAGATTAGGGGCACAATTAGAATGCAGTGTGTACGCTTTTCAGAGTTTATGCTGTGCGTTTACACATTTGATTTGACTTGGTAGCGCTCTGCTTTCTTTGTGTTCCAGGTTTTCCAGTATTGGCCCGATTTTAAAGGGTGAGGAAAACCAGTGTTGCAGAGTCATAGTTAATATTTTTCCCAAAAATATTTTAGCACATATTTTAGAAAATTTTTTTTATTTTATGAAAATAGTATGTCTTTCATGTTTCACACATTATGTAAGGATCTTTTGTTTCCATAATTTAAAACTCTTTTAAAGATAATATTTAAAACTCACTTAAAACATACTTGCAAATGATAAAGTTTGCTATAAAGGTTATCTCTGCCGATGCAAAAGTTTGATTAATGTGTTGCTAATAATGCTGTGCTATGAATGGCTTTTTATTTCATGTCATTGAAAAGTAGGTGGCTTTTTTTCCTAAAGGAGGTGGCTTATGTTTTTTTCATCTGCTGAATCAGTAGATACAAAGCAATTTAAAAGTCTTGTGAGTTCAGAAATCTCACAAAAAGCTGGTACCATTGGGCTAACTTCTTGATTCATTTATCTGAGAGTTTTGCATATATAAATATAATCTCTACTTTTGACATTTAGACCTCATGTTTGCAGAACTTGCTCTCTGACACCTGTGACATCCTTTATTGGCCCATGGTGGCACTTAGCCGGGAAACATAGACACCTGTGGGCTCCACTGCAGCCTTGGGGTGTACACGTGGTCTTCAGCCTGCTGGACCCAGAGTCACGGGACAGAGGCATGGGGGGCCGAGGTCACAGAGGTGTGTGCTACAGGATTACATACAGACACACGTTGTGACCAGCAACAGAAGGTGTTTCTCCTGGTAGTGCCTACAGACAAGAGACCGCTGAGCTTAAGCACACTGAGCAAAGAAAAGAAATAGTGAAGATTCAAATAGTAATGTTCCACTGAGGCACAATGGCCTCATAAATATGCATGCCATTCAGGCTGTTCTGTGGCCATTAACGACTCTGCCTGTTATCTTTAAGTGTTAACTGGGGTGTCTTAGAATTTGAATATGGTGCTGGATCCGTGTTTGTGAGCAAGGAGAGTTGGCGGCTTGCCAGGACTAGGAAGAATCCTCGTACATCATTTTCGTTGTAGGTGAATAGAGATCATTGAAATGATGGCAGGTGTGATTATGGCTTTCAATTAAAGCAACATTGCAGTTGCTTTTGTTTAAAACATTAGGCTGCCTGGGTCTGAAGCACTTTCAGTTGTCTTTTCCATTTACCTGAATGTAAGATGGAGAAAATTGAAGCCGTCTCACCAAACCTGCCTGAATCTCGACATCGGCTTTTTAGCTGAGGCCTTACATGCCGTAGCCCTTGCAGTCTACTTACTTTTATAAATTTATTCTACTTAATGCACTGTTACCCTTCAGTTTTACCATAGACATATTAAATTTGGACAATGTGATACAAATTCAGAGAAAAAGACAAGTACCAACCGAACCATCATGTGCTTTGTTGACAGCCGAGTCTTGATGCCTTAATTCTCGTCCTCTCACCTGCCCTACTTTGGCAGGTGGTTCTCTCTCAAGTGTCCTTTGGAGTCAGTGTCCCTTGGTTGAGCAGACAGCCCTGTGTGAAGTGTCCCCCTGGAGCTGGTGCTGGTTGGTTGGGCAGAGGGCCTCTCTCCGCTGTCCCCATGAGTCAGTCTGGTTGACTGGGCAGATCTGCTCCTCAGGTGTGCCCTGGGGTCAGTGTTGGCAGGTTGAGCAGATACAGTTATACCTTCGTCTGTGTGGGTCATCATGGAGACCGCCCAGGCACATCTTGAGAGCCCCAGTCCCAAGCTCCATCCACCATGTAGCCATAGTTAATCCTAGAATCCGCTTCCAGCTTCCACCTGTGATTTCGGAGCTGCTGATGGACCGCTCCATGCTGTCCAGAAGGGGGCCCTGCCCCGCTCTGAAGACTGCTGACTTCTCCAGTCCTGCTGGCTCAGTCCTGAGGTTCCTGCCCGCTCACTACTTGAGCTATGGCTCCAGGAGCATGGGAACCCATGCACAGGAAGGCAGCAGAGCCAGAGAAGTGAGCAGTGGTCAGACACTCTACTGCAGAACTCTGCCCCAGCCCTCGTGGCTTTCAGGCTCTGGCTGGGACCATGAGTGAGCTCGTTTGGATTCATCACCTGGCTTAGGGTAGAATCGGGGGCAGGCAGCCCAGTACTCAGGAGGCTGGGCAGGAGGGCCGCATGTCCGAGGCCAGCCTGGAGAACTGGAGACGTGGCTCAGTGGCAGAAGGCCCCTGGGTCCAGTCTCCAACACTGGGGGAAAAAAAGTCCACACAAAATCCGACTTTTGCTTTTGTTTGATTATAGGTGTGTCTTCTGATTAAAACCTAAAAGTTAAGGAGTGATGACGGTAGAAAGTTCTAGCATGAGCTAACTGGGGTGCCATAACTTAGTGGTTAAGGGGTGAAATCTGGAACGAGACTATCTAAATGGGGTTTGGTCCCAGTTCATCTGTTCTCTGACGATGTGACTTTGGTTGTGTCACCTGACCTTTCTGTGTCTCGTTGGGAAGAAGGAGTAACATCAGCACCCAGGCCTTGGGTGCTGAATTAATGCACACGGAAGCTTAAACAGGGGTTAGAATAGTCATTGTTCCATAAATGTTAGTGATCATTGATCTTGGCTGGCTTTTAATTTGCATTTGTCCTCTTTGGCACTTTACAGTGTCCTTTCACCTTGTATTAAAATAGAGCTGGTGAAAGGACCCGGAGCCACACTGAGGCCGAGGATGCTCCTCTCCTCCTCTCCCCATAGCAGAGCTCCCCCTGGAGAGAAGCAGCGGTACTGCAGCTTAAACACACTTGCTCCAAGTGTCCTTCCGTGGTCTGCTTTGGGCCAGATCCTGCAGTCCCCTCCATCAGTGTTTGTTAGACTGGGCCCTAACGTCAAGCGCTGCACACAGGGTCTGTCCCTGTGCCTCTGCACATGGTGGGGTGAGCGTCTGCCTCTCCGGTGAGTCTGTTGAGTGCCGGGTGTTGCTTGCTCCATAGCCTCTGCAGTCCTTGTCCCTGGCTGACTCCAAGCTCAAGGCCGAGGTCACCATAATCATCAACGCCCTAGGAAGCAACACCTCCCTGACCAAAGTGGACATCAGCGGGAACGGAATGGGGGACATGGGAGCAAAGATGCTGGCCAAAGCCCTGCAGATCAACACCAAGCTCAGGTAGGCAGCCGCACTCCCGGGCCAGCTGTGGGTGGCCTTGGGGAGCCAGCGGTGCCGGGGCTCTGGGCTTCTCCAGGGAGGGAGACCCACAGGGCAGTCTGCGGTGCTGGTCCAGGGGGAGGCTTCAGAGTTTGCACGGATTCCTTCAGACTGTGGCCTTCAGTAACTGAACCTGACGGAGAGCGACCTGGCTTCTTGTTCAGTCTCGACAGTCGGCTGTGGTGGGTCACGGCAGTGAGGGTGCGGCGGCTCTGCCGGCCGTGCTGAATGAGCAGAGCCACGCAGCAGCAAGTCGTGACACCGGGGTTGTCCACACTGCCAGGCCCATCCACCATGGGCACATTCTGTGAGATCCGCCGTCAGGCCATGTCGAGTTCTGAGAACGTCCTGGGGTGTCCTTGCCAAACCCAGCTGCCACCGCACCACCAGCCTCTGGAACCTGGTCCTGCAGACAGAAGGCCCGCCTCGCTCATGGCCATGCCTGGTTGTGAGCCCACGGTCTTATCTCCGCTCCCAGCCCCTCCAACATACAGACTTGAAGCCCAAGAGTACCCGAGGTCTGCTGGCAGCTCACACTGGGGGTCAGCTGCAGTCTCCCCAAGTGTGGTTTTCTAAAAAGACATGCCATGCTGTCACACCGCCACCATCCGTCATTCAGAGGCAGGTTCCCCGATGGTCCACTCCCCAGGGCCCATTCCGAATCTGAACCTTCTGTCTACACGGGAGCCACAGCCAAGAGCATCAGCAGAGTCTCTGAAAGTCAGGGTGAACATCAGGAAGTCCCTGGGCCTGGGGCGGGGAAACAGTAGCAGTCGTGAGCCGGGGGTCACCCAGACACACCGAGTGTGCCTCACCGCGTGTGCCAGGGTGGACTAACACATCCCGAAATACCTCCAGAGCATGCGTGTTCTGGGGGCAGTGTAGGACTTTCCTTCCAAAATAGGCCTTGTGCTTGGCAGGTCAACAAGCTGCCATTTATAGTAGCTGGAGTTTCGCCAGCAGAGCGAGTGCAGTTCCCAGGGTCGCTAATCACACCAGGACAGGGATCAGGGAAATATGGAGGGGTTCTCTTCTGCCTTCAGAACGGAGATCGTCTCAGTACCTGGAACTGTGTGTATCGGGCCTGTGGGTGATGAGCTTCTTTTTATAAATAAATAGCTTCAGACAGAACACGAAAACGCTTTGGGGAGGGTTTTAGGGGAATCAGGTTTTAGAGTTTTCTGACTGTAAAATATCGGTATTATACTAGTCAGCTAATCTCTGTGCTGATGTTTTTAAGTATAGTTTTTCTGAAAACACTACTCAGGTGGGTCCATGGGTTACATCACAGTGTTGCAGGGAGCTCGGTGGTAGGCACCCACACTTGGTCCCATCCAGCACCAAAAAAAAAATAAAATAAAATAAAAACCCACAAGACTCTGACGTGACGTTGGAGACACTCATCCCGTCTTGCTTGAAGCACAGATGGAGGTGGCCGTCAGTCCCTGCTCACAGCAGTCTCTGTGTGGTGCTTGGTGCCGCTGGTGAGTGGTTTCTGTCCGACAGGAGGAGTGTCTCAGCACTCACGTGGTTTGGTTTTCAACAGGACTGTGATCTGGGACAAGAACAACATCACTGCCCAAGGCTTTCAGGACATAGCTGTTGCTATGGAAAAGTAAGTTCAATTAAGTCTCTTCTTTTCTAAAAAAAGAAAACATTCTAAAGAACCAGCAGTGCCAGTACAAACTGTGGGTGACGTGAGCAACAGGGGTTGGATCAGGTCTGGGTCCAGTGTCCAGCCACGGGGCCAGGAAGACCTGGAGTGAGTTTTCTCACCTTCATGATGAGGGCAGAGACGCCTGACGGGCCGAAGCCACCACCAGTCCCGAGAACCCGCGAGATCGTGGCGTGGCCTCGTCTCTCCCTCCTCTGTGGTTCACTGCCGATCTCTATGAGTCTTCTCCTTTGCCCATTATACAGAATCCACTGAAGAAACAAAACAGCCAAGGTCCAAATGATAAAGGTGAAATGGCCAGTAGTCAGATGAGCTAGGAGACTTTTTATTACATGACCTGAAACCTGCAGTTGTGGATTCTCAAGGGTTTTGCTTTGCAAGGGCATGTTTTACCTTTCCCCTGGACCTGCTCAGGACTGGTGTTGCCTGCTCACTGTGCTGACCCAGGTTCATTCAGATCCGTGGTCACTAAAACCCAGCAGCAGGTCCCGCTGGGCATTTCCCCCAGGCCTTCTCTCAGTCCCTGTTTCCAGTCCCAATGTGAAAATTTTCAGTTTACATTATCTTACATGAATTTTTCATTTTACATAAATTTTCCACTTACACAATTTCCTTGATGTAATTCAGAAATGAAAATAAAACAACGAAAGGCAGAGTGAATTCAGGAGGTGGCACAGGTGTTGCGTGTGGGTGCTGAAGAAGGCCGAGCTGCGATATTCCAGCGATAGACTTTTCCAAGACTGTCATTTAAGATAAGAGTCTAAGGTGTCAGGAAGTCATCTTACAACGGGCCCACTGCTTTCTGTTTCTCCAGGAACTACACGCTGAGATTCATGCCGATTCCCATGTACGACGCCTCTCAAGCCCTTAAAACCAGCCCCGAGAAGACAGAAGAAGCTCTGCAAAAGGTACTGAAGGCTCAGTAGCTTAGCTCCAGTAAACTCACTTGGGCTGCGTGACTGTGATTCTGAACTCAGGAGCAGAACTCTGTTACTTTACCGAGGTTCTGAAACTTCGTGTGTATTCTTACGATCCCGCCAGGCATGAGGCATGACTGGGAGGAATCAGACACAGTAAGACTTACCATGAAATTTTAGTGGAATCAGGCAGCATTCTTGCGATATCAGCATGCCAGAGCCTGGGCGCAGATCACTTCCCGAGATCATCCCTTGGCAAACGCAGGGAACAGGATGTTAACTCACACCCCTCCCTCCCCTTCGCCCTCAGCAGAGGACCTCGTCTCCCTGCTGTGTCAAGAAACTGGGAAACTATTGAGCGTTGGCTGCCATATGTGCAGTATGTAAGCGTGCGCACTTCACAGTCTACAGCCACGTCCAGACCCTGCCGTCCCGGCCTCCACTCCTGGGACGACGGCAGCCTCTCCCTGGAAGCCCTGCCATCTGCAGTGTCTCTGATGCCTCCGTTTCTGCCCTGGGCTGGGAGCGTGCCCTGAGTCCTCCCTGGTCTTGCGTGTCCTCAATTTTGCTTTCTGAGGCTCCCTGGCTTTCCATTGTAGATGTGCTCAAATATCTCCCACCCAAGAAGGCGGCTCCCTGTTTACTACGGTGACGTTTGCAGGGGTATCTTTGAAGTCTTTCTTCCTGCTCTGTTCTCTTCCTCTTCAGACATCCAAGCTCCACGTCCTGCCCTGTTTCCCTCGGCCTGTCAGCCACAGTCGGCCAGTTTGCAGCCTGAGCCTCTGCATTCGCTCCCCTACCCCATTCCTAATACAGATGCCCCCTTCCAGCCTGCCCTCTCTCACTGGCATGATCACCACACTGGCCCCTTCTTACCTCATTTCCAAGAAAGATTAGCATCGTATTTCATGGTCAATCCAAGCAAACTAGAACCGTGACCCCTCCCTCCCCAGTGGCTGTCTGGACCAGTGGTGCTCCTTCTCCTTAGCGTGCAGGGCATTCTTTCCAGCATCTGCCTTCTTTCCACCTGGACTTCATCTCTGCCAACTCTTACTCTCCCTTTTCTTCTACCTCAGCAAACCCCCTAGAAATGCAAGTCCCTGAACCTCAGACACTGAGACAGGATCTCGGTGATGGCCGAGTCAGGGCTGTGCTGTGGCTCATTCTCCCCACACTGCCATGTGTGTCTGCTGAAGTCAAGCGTCAGGCCACCAGGACTTCTCAGAGCACCTTAGTTCCCCACGTAGGCCATCTGCTCAGACTCTCACGCTGATCTATGCTATCGGCTTTGTGATGTTGCTGCATATCAACTGAGTCCACTTGCTTTCTTTTTATTTATTTCCCTGCTAATAGACTGTGAGCTCCCTAAGGCAGAGCCTAGGTATTTTTATTATTTTTAACAAATTCTCAGCAGCTAGGACAGTGCTTGGCACATACTCTTGGACACTTTATAGGTATTTGTTGAATAAAGAGGCATAAGATGGCGGGAGGACAGGGGAGGAGAGCTCTGGAATAGCGAAAGATATCATCCAAGATTTGGATTCAGAAGATCTGACTTCGAAGCAAACTCTTCCTGGCTTTATAACCTTCAATAATTTACTTGATTTTTTTTCTAAATTTTAATATTCTTCATCTATATAAAAAGGAAAAAGAAAACAATGCAATAATTATATTTATCAGATCCTTAACAAGTAGGTTCACACGTGGGTGCCTGGCACTGTTTTAAGGGCTTCTCAAAAATGAATACATGTGATCTTTGAAATAGCAAATGAGATGGGTTCTATTATATCCCCATTTTGCAGATAAGGAAACTGAAGGGTAGGGAAACTTATTAACTTCACCAAGGTAACCATGAGAACCAGGCAAAGCAGCAGATAGGAAAAGAGTGTGCGACTGTCAGGCGTCTGACTTTGCGCGGACATCAGCGGGCTCAGAGCAAAGCCGGCGCTCTGAGAACCGGGTTTCTGGCTTCGGGTTGTCAGTGAGTGTGGGCATCATCATTCCCACACCCACCACAGAAGAAATGCTGAGAAAAACAGAAGTCAGCCACCCTTCCTGGATAACGGATCACCCTGAGACCTGGACAGACCGAGCGTACGGGACTCCCAGTGAACAGAGCCGAGGTCCTCGGACCAGGAGCCGGCGCCAGGAGAGTCAGTACCATGAAGACGCCGAGCTGTGGGGACGGTTGCTGCAGGCTGACTCTGACTTCCCGGGTCCCGTCTCCGGGAGCCTCTAGCCTGGCGTGAACTCTTTCCAGAAGCCCCTCCCAGTTGTCGCAGCAGACTTTGTGGAAAATTCCCCTCACGTTTCCCTGCGATGCCATCTCGGGGAGGCTGAGGCGGGAGGGTGGCCACCAGACAGGAGAAGTAGGTGGGTGGGAAAGTGCCCTGGGCTCACTCCCAGGACTAAAATAGAAACTAGCGATTGTGGAAGTCGCGGCCCAGGGACTCGGGGTGACCAAGAGCACCCCTAACTTCATCACGAGGTGATCGAGTGCCTCTCCTCCCTGACTCTGCCTCCGCACACCCAGTGTGACCGTGGGTTCCGGCTGAGCAGCGGCAAGACAGCCTCGGGGTGCAGCGTTTCTAGAGCACCCCCAAACAACAGGGGAGACAGAAGCCAGGATCCTCCACGGCAAAGCCCCTGGCACCGCAGCAACAGGAAATGTGAGCATCGGCGCCTCTGCAGGGAGAGACCCTCCCCAAAAAAACCAAAAGGAAATTCTAGAACTAAAAGTTAACAGAAAATAAAGCCATAACGATCCCAGCAGTGTCCTGGACACATGTACAGAAAGAGTCATCAATGGAAACCCTCCAAGTGAGATGCAGAGAGAAGGGGACGCGGGAGAGGACACCCGAGACCACCTAGAGCCGTGGAGCAGCAGTGGGAGAGGTAACGGGTACACCATCGAGTTCCTGGAGAAGAGAGGGAAAGGAGTGCAAGAAACATGGCTGAGATGGCCCCCAGTTAGTGACAGGCACTGAACTATCCGTCCAGAAAGAAAGGGACACCAGGACAATGCCCAGAGCAGTCTACACAGGCCTCTCCATCCAGTCCACAGAGGTAAAGAAAATCCAGAGAAGCTGGGGAAAGGCTCCCCAGGTGCTGAGAGGCGGGAAGGGCCCGTCCCACGTTTTGCTGGAAACCGTGTGAGAAAGAAGAGTGGAAAGTATTTATGAAGCGGTGATAGAAAAACAGCAGCTAGAGTCTGTTCCCAGTGATCGTCCTTCAAGAGTGAAGAAGAAGTGGACATTCTCACACAAATGTCCACCCAGGATGGGTCGCCACGGGATCCGCCTCCCAGGGAGTGCTGAAAGACGCTCTTCAGAGAGGCGGAAAGAGTGTGCGTCAGGTAAAGAAGGGAGGTCCCCAGACGGGACCAGGAAGGTAGATGAGGTCGTGTTTTCCTATGGAGATCCAACGGTGACTCTTCCTCAGTAACCGTAGCCATGGTCACAGTGGGTGGAGAAGCGAGGTGGCTGGCAGCAGTGTCCTGAGGGCGGGAGGGAAAGCGGCTGCACTGCTCGGGAGCTGGTGCCGCGCTGTTGGGCAGCCGCCTCGGGTGGGTCACAAAGGCCTGTTTCACACACTGAACAGACACTATAAAGCGTGGGTTGAGTGTGCCTTACCTGAAATGCTTGGGACAGAGATATTTCAGAAGTTGGACTTCAAAAAGTAAAAATGGGGGCTATTTGCATACACATAATGAGACGTCTCGAGGATGGGACCCAAGTTCAAACACAAAGTTCCCTTGTTTCACGTGCACCTCAAGCGTCTTGCCGAAAGGTGATTCCACACGATATACTCGGCACAGCTGCATTTTTAAAATATAAATTTGTGTGTGTGTATATATTATAGAGAGAGAATTTTTTTAAGATTTTTTTCCATGATTTTATTTATTCATTTTTACGTGGTGCTGAGGATTGAACCCAGGGCCTCACACTTGCTGGGCAAGGGCTCTGCCATTGAGCCCCAGCCCCAGCCCAGCTGCATTTTGACTGTAGCCCACCACCCAAGGTCAGATGTAAAAATTCCCACCAATGACAGCAGGTCAGTGCTCACAAAAGTTGGATTTGGGGGCCTTTTGGATTTTTTACTTTGGGATTAGGCATGCTCAGCTGTATACTTGGTATGATAAAATGGGAGAAGAAACGTGCAATTCTATAAAAGGCTCAGTTAAAACAGAAGGCAGAAAAAAGAAGGGAGAAGAGGAGACGCGGACACGTGTGCCGTGAGTAGGATGCTGTGAATGTGGCCCAGGCTCTCCCAGTTCTGAGAAGAGTCGTCACAGCCCAGAACTGAGCGAGACAGAGGGACCGAGGACTGGGGACCAGGAGCAGGCGAGGTGTTAAGTGTAGAATTTGTGCTTTTTGTTGACAAATGGATGGTTTTACAGTTCCTGATGGTTTTTCTTGTAACACCTAACTCCTCTGTTACATGTGCAAGTTTTCATTTTAATAGTAGATCTTTGCCCTGTGGAAAACTGTGTTTGTTGGTTTTAATCCACTAAAAACCAACAACAGCAGAACTGTGGTCAGCGCTCCCCCTTCCTAGTGCTTTTTCTTTAAATGCAGATTCCTTTACTCAACTGCAGTTGCTCGCTCCTTGTGCCCGTGCTGTCTGCAGCAGTAGCCTGCAGGTGTCTGACTCTTTCCAGGTGATCTCCAGCCACCGTAGCTCCCAAGGGTCCAGAGAACAGGACAAAGGCTCCGTTGGCCCCTAGCCAGGCCCTCCCTCCCTCCCTCCCTCCCTCTCCCATGGTACTTGGGATGGAACCCAGGGCCAGTGATGCCAGGCTAGCCAAGTGCTCTACCCTGATAGGGCCCAGGTCCCATTTCCTAACCCAGGAGTTGGAATGGAGCATGGAAAGAACTTCATTCTGTTCTGCCAAGACGCCAATAGCTTCAGTGGTAGTGGGCACATGACTGACCTTAAGGATATTGGAAAGTGGCCGTTCAACATCCCCGTAAGCTTGAGACGAGCATCAAAGGCTGTTTTCCTTCAGCATTCCTTCCCGGCTTGGTCTGGGAAGCATGATGGGTGGGCCTGGGAAAGGTCTAGAGGCCCAGGGCCAGCCCTGGACACCCGACCTGTGTGAACAACGTGGTGGCCCTCAGACCCAGGCCAGCCAAGTGTGAGGCCGCATGTGAAAGGACAGGAACAAAGCCAGGCCCCACAGCTGGGTGCCCCGTCACATTTCAGCACCCTCCTAGCAAAGCCCTTTACAGTGGTGTAAGTGGTGTCACCTTGGGAGGCAGTAGGAGAAAGCTAATGTCATAGACTGTCAGGGCATTAATGTGTCATTTTCATGATGTTTCATTTCAGGGATCTCTTCATTTTATAATTTCTTTTATATTTAGTAGAAAGGTACGTTTTACTCCTCATTATAGTTTCCACGAATGATAGTAATTACACTCTGTATTTTAATTGTTCCTAATTGCTATTAAGTAGTAGTCATTTAGCATCTGGAAGATTAAAATGAAAATGTAATAATACTGAGGGCTTCACAGTCATAGCAGTTCTCCACCGGGGAGTTGCAGTGGCAAATTAAAAGCCAAGTGTTAAGTAGCAGAATAAAAACAAACAAAACGACAAGTGGAAAAAGTGGAGTGGGCATAATTGACCCTCATCAAGTCGGTCTTTTGAAAACCCATCACTGTGAAGAGTTAACCTGCATTCTGGTTCAGTGTGTCCAGGGCGAGTGACCCTGCCTGGATCCTCTCTCCGAATCGTTTATCCCTTCCACGTTTTGGTTTTTCGTAGGAGATGGGGCGTAAGCACAAGATGCCAAGCAACTTCAGGATTTGTCTTTCTGTGGAAATCCACTTTCTGATTTTCTCTACTGTTTTAAGAAAATATGAAACTCTGACAGGTTGATGGGGTTGTTGTACGTCTTTTGATTGCACCAGCCCGCACTCTTTAACTTCTGTAGCTAGTCTTTTCCCTCCTTAAAACAAAAAGTGTTCGACAACTAGAATCAGGCTGAGGTTCGGGGAGTCCCACCTGCGAGCTCTGTGTCGGGGGTGGGGGGGTCACCTCACTTCTGAGCTGTGTGGAAGTAACACTCATCAGAGGGAATGGCACCTCCTGCTGGCCACTGATGAGAAGTCACTAGACGGGATCTCTGACCCTTCTGGCCACTAAACACCAGCTTCTATTCACCAGCTACTGAGTCACACAGAAATTACTCCAAATACCCGAAAGTCAATTTTCTAATGAAAACAGCAATAATGAATGTCAGGGACCAGCAGCTCCCCGTCCCATTCATGTGTGGGGTCCAGGTCTGGCAGCACGGGCACAACAGTGCTTAGATTTTCAGTTGGGGAACTGTGTGTCTTGAGAGATGGCATCTGTTTGACTTCCAGATAGAAAACTATCTGCTGCGGAACCACGAGACCAGGAAGTACCTTCAAGAGCAGGCCTACCGCCTGCAGCAGGGCATCGTCACCAGCACCACCCAGCAGGTAAGGCACCTGGCTCCCTCCCTCCCCTCATCGGGCTTCCTGGAGCGGAGGACTCTCCTGGGACTCATTCCTAGTGGGGCTGTAGAACTGGTTTCTGAGAGTGGCAGCCATGTAGGAAAGACGTGAGAGAGGAGCTCGGGGAGACGGGGGGCGGAAACAGCCCATGCTGATGCCCAGGGTGGTCACTGATTTTGCGCCTGCGGGCGGCACCAGCAAGGTGTGGTTTAGGTTTATGTACAAAGATCAGGAACTTCTGATAGACAGCGGAGTCCAAGAGTCCTCAGATTTGCAGCTCGGAGACATGTGGTCTGCTCTCCCTACTCCTCTGCAGTTCCCTGAGTGCGTGCCGATGCCCAGGTCCTTGTGCATCCTTAAGAGTTTGTTGAAAACCAGTTAACACTCGAGTGCAGGGGAGACACGGAGGTGCCAGTCTCTTGTGCTTCACTACTCTTCTTTCTACCCATGTGAGAGAGGGAGCAGAGAATGGTTGCCGTAGTCTGGCTGGGCACAAAATAACCGAGCCACCACACAGCCTTGTAGGTTCAAAACAGGAACTCCTTTATTCTCCGCACTCCCACGTGGCCTTCCCCACGGACACACCACACACCAACTGGAAATCCCTCCTCCGGAAGATCCCTCCTCCTGGCACTTCCCCAAACAATGGGAACCCTCTGCGAATCCGAGAACTCCAAAGTAGCAGGCCCGGGCGGACAGCAGGGGTCTAGTATGCAATTGAATACACAGCTTAACATAACCATCATCATCTCAATGGCTTGCTGGCATCACCTTCTTGCAAAAATGCCCTGCGTCATTCCAACTTAGCTATGGCTCTCAGCACATTGTAACAGTAATTCTTAAAAATATAGACTATTTTCCTCCCCAAATTAGCAAAATTAGGGGTCCCAAGATATTTGAAGAAAGGAAAGAGTATGTCAAAGAACAAGAGAAATGGAGGTACCGAGCTCAGATAATTCAGAGGACAGTAGAGGACTTTAAATAAAATTGTGATTAGTGAGTTCTTGGGACTTGAGCAGATATGCCATGTCTGTCTATTAAGAGGCTACTGTGGAAGGAGGGATCAGAAAATTGTGAATCATGCTGAGCAAGTTAAATGCCACTAATACGGAACTAATAAGCTCATGGGACATGAACTAAGCTGTTCTTCTGGAAGAAAAACTGGAGAGAAATTTTATGACATGTAGTAAAAAGACATAAAAAATAGGAAGGAAAAGTTGGGGTACCAGAGTCAGGATGACCACGCCGTCCTGATAGGACCGATGTTCCAGGGCCGCGCAGAAGGACACCACGTCTCAAGGGTCTTGGAGTGGAGATGGCCCACTGAAACTGACCACAGTGAGTGGACCAAAGATGCACATATAGCTGCTGTCAGAGGCAAGCGGTCAGTGAGGTCCAGAACCACTAGGAGAAAGGAGAGCCTCCCGAGTTCTGCAGGGGCTGTTTCCTGCTGGGTCGGTCAGGGCCCCGCATGGTAGAGGAGCTCTCTGCTCCTGAGCTGCGTCCCCCCCCCAGGTTTTCTTCAGAGAACGGAAGAACCGATTTTTCGCCTCCATCCGGATCGGTGGAAGTGAGCGAGGTCCTATCGTCTATTTTCAGCGGGAAATCTAATCTGGACCAAGGATTCTGTATCCAGCCATGGTGTCACACAGGTGTGAAGACACAGCAAGAATGTTTCCAGCCGTGGACTATCTTTTCCCCAGTTGCCCCATACCACAAAACTTACTTGAGCGTAACAAAGGAGAAGAGGCGCACCATCGGAGGCACAAACGAGGAACAGAGTAGAGCTGCAGAAGTCAGGGCAACTGGAAGCCTCACAAGGCTCCGACTTGGAGACCGTCGACTTGTGGGTCCTTCTGTGGGGCCTGCGATTCCCGTTTTGTAACTGGGTTCTGGAGGACTGAGGCTTTCAGTATCACATGGACACTGAGGGAAGACTTGATGATCACATCACAGAACATCAGTGTTGACATCCTGATTCTGTGATAATGGAAGGTCGGCCCTGAAGGCGGCAAGCTGAGGGCCAGCGGAAGGGTGCTGGATTTTTAAGGTTTCGTTTCATGGTATCAACTGCTACTTTCCGTGATTCACAAACCAGACATGAAGATAAGTGTGCTCTGAAGTCTCAGAGTGAAAGCCACCGGAAGAGTCCAAGGATGTGTCTGTGCACATGGAGCGGAGCTGGCTGCTGGGGGAATTTTCCATCGTTCTGGGCTTTTTCCTATCGAGTGCATTCTGTTTCCCTTAGCAGGTGTCATTCAGATTTTTTTCTTGAGAGAATGAGAGCTGTCTGTACTAAACACCCGCCATTCCTCTTAGGTGGCGTGACTGGTGAGTCGTGTTGTGTCCGGAGACTGTGAGGAGGTTGGCCTCAGTGTTAGAGTGGTCATCTGGGGTCAGCCGGCAGGCAGTGTGATCCGGTCGGGGGTCTTCTCCAGTACGTCTCCTTGTTATCTCTTATTATAAACATGCATTTTTCAACTTAGAAAAAGCAAAGCACTATGTGTCGAGAAGAAAATAGTGATGCATGGTAGTGAAGGAGCAGAACTTCTGAAAAGCGTATTTTGACTGGACCAGTGCCTTTTTTTTCCCTGCAAGGGCTGATGTTGGCTCAGTGCTGCGTGGCGTCCTGTTATTTCCTGGTTTGAGGGTTCTGTGTCTGAAGCCGTGGGGGTGCTGAACTCTTCCTGGGACTCGCCTGGTGTTCCTTTATGAACTACTGAGGTGCAGGCTTCTTTCTCGCTCGGCATCTCTCCGGCTTTCCTCTGCTCCACAGGGGATTTTGCTCATCCCCAAAGATCCCCTGCTGCAGTCTTCAGTGCTTATTCTTAAAAGTCAGTCTCATCTCCCATCAAAGGGAACCGCACACGGGGAGCCTGTGGGCCTGCAGTTCTGCACGGCTGCCACCGTTCTGAGTCGCCTGCGTCATTACGAAGCAGGTACACTGCCACCCTTCACTTCAGAGGCTCCTGAGGGTGCCGTGATCACTAACCTTCAGACTTTAATCATTCCGGTGACTTCGGGGGAAGATGTGATGTTTTCAGAAATTCGAATTCAGAAAGCACAGACCCTCTGTGAGCAGCCCCTGCCACCCCTCGGCCAGTCGCCACCCTCAGCGCCCCAAAGGCGACCGAGCGGGCCTGCGTGGGGCGCGGAAGTCCCCCTCCTACTGGGTGTTAGGTTTTGTCTGCGGCTTTGATTAGGAAAGCTCGGTGAGGGTCCCTGTGCCCTCGGCTCCTGTCCCTTCTTTCCGCCTCGTAAACCCTCTTGATGGGAGTCAGGAACGGTTTCTGCAGGGAGCTGGGTAGATATTCCGGTTTCCAGCGAGACGGTTCCCGGGCAGCTCCTCACCCCACTGTGCAGCGTGGAGCAGCCATGAACGGGGCTGGCTGTGCCTTGAGCCTCAAACACGGGCCGGCACCGCCTGTTTGCCAAGCTCTGCTCTCGGTCTCTCACCCTCATGGTCCACGGGCTCCTCCTCTGTGGACTGGTGCTGCTGAGGTCGGCTCCTGCTGCCCGCACCCTGGAACCCCCGGAGCCCTCCGCCTGTCCACTGAGGTGCTCTCTCCGTCGCACTGAGCCTGCGCCCAGGGCCCTCTCCTGGTGAAGGGGACAGTGCCGTGCTAGTCAGGAACTTGGACCCCCAAATCCGGTGGCCCAGAGTGAGTCCGGGCTGTGCTGCTCCTGTCGTGTGACTTCTGTGGGTCGTTTACCACTCTGTGGCCTGGGCTTCGTCCTCTGCCGAGCAGGGACAAGGATAGCGGCTGCCTCACAGGGGCTCCGGGGATGACCTGGTCCTGGAGGGCTGGCCTCCTCCCTGCAGAGGCTCCCAGAGCGTGAAGCCCGAGGGAAGGATGGGGAAGGAGGGGCTGGGTCCGCCTGTGCGAGGCTGGCTCGGGGGACTGCAGGCTGGCTCGGGGACCGTGTGCTGTCCACGTCTTCTCCGGGGAGCAGGGCGGCCTGTAGGAAGGACATGGAGACAGACAGGGCTCGGGGCAGGGAAGAGCCGTCTCAGAGTGACGGTGTTTGTGTTCTAGGAAGGAAGTGAGCTTCTCAGGCGACTGGTGACAACTATTTTGTGTCACTTTAGAAAACTTGGGTGCGAGGGATTCCTGGTGACGTCAGGAGGTCAGACAGAATCTGCACTCGACCACGGGGTCTCCTGGGGACAATCAGGAGGTGCAGCCCTCAGCCCGCGGTCCCCTTCGTTCCTCATGTCCGTGTACTTTAGGGACAAGAGTCATGAACTGAGAGCCAGCTCCTGTTTCCCGTTCAGAACCTCCAGTTGGCGCTCGGCTGTCCTTCCGCGTCCTCTGAACAGCTTCCCGCGGGCTCTGGCGTGGGAACGGGATCCATGGTGATGTGGCCCTGACGCTCAGGCCGAATCGTCTGAGGGATGTGGAATTGAGTCTCATTTGAATTGAAAAACTGACTTTGGTGTCCCCTTGGACTGGTTTTGAAACGCTCCCTCGAGGCCATCCTTGCCCACTTGGTTTGGATCCTCTCCGTGGTGAGGCTCACGCTGCACGGGTCTCCCTGGTGTTTCCTGATCACGAAAGCTGCGTGCCACGATCCCACGCCTTCCCTTGAGACCTCTGTGGGCCCCGCGGTCTGTGGGTCCTCTGTCACTGCGTGGTTCGTCTGTCTCTTGGAACCAGGGTCCAGTTTTAGTGAGATAGGAATTGTCGATGGCCATTTTGCTTCAGGAGTCACAGATCTACGTGGCAGTTTGAGGACTTAGGGTTTCTATCAACTAAGAAGTCTTTTCAAGCGTGTCGTTAGCTCCCTGCATCACATTCTGTGGGCCTGGAAGTTAAGATGTGGCTCTTGCCCTCAGGCTTCCTTGTTTTAGCTGGAGAGAGTGTGAGGTGAGGGGCGTCCCCAGGCAGCCTCCGTGTGCTTGCCCCTGTGGGACCTGTTGGTGATCCCCAGACCCTCTGCCCACGGAGCAGGTGCTTAGAGAGTCGTTATTTAGCAGGTCTTTTAGCACATGAGAAAGGAAGTTGGGTAAACAACACGAGCCTGATTTTATAAAGCAGGAAGTGGAGGGATGGCGGCCCTGCTGCAGGCAGCCCCGGCCTCTGAACTCAGAACTTACCACTTCTGAGCAGGCTGGTAAAGCTTCTGCTGTGGTCGAGTTGGTGAGAGAAGGAGGACAGACTTCAACTTCCCATAGTTATGATATCAAATAATTAAAAATAAATACAGAAGTGAATTTAATTGAAAAAGAATTATTAGCTTATCTCCTGCCAAATGACTTACCAGATGGGACAGGACTCTTGACGTGTAAGATCCCTGTAGAGTTAACACTTTTTTTTTTTTTTAAGGAGATGAAATAGGCAAGCTTTAACTCTAATAAAGAAATATTGGAGAAAATTTTTAAGCCACACTTTGTTCTTCAGTCTTCATTGGTTTCTGTCCGAGTCCATTTCCTGATGCTATAACGGAATACCTGAGATTGGGTGACTTATGAAGAATAGAGGTTTATTTTGGCTTGTGGTTCTGGAGGCTGGAGAGTCCAAGAGCACTGTATCAGGACAAGAGTCTTGTGCTGCTTCAGCTCACAGTGGAGAGTGGAAGGGTGGTGGGCTCATGGTGAGGAGAGGGAGCAGCAGGGCAGCCTGCTCGACAGCAGCCCACCTGCTCCATAGCCGGTCCTGGGGGAGGGGTGAAGGCGCCCACTGGAGAAGTCATGCGTGTATTCAGGAGGGCTGTGCCCCCGACCTGAGTGCCTGCCCGGCCCACCTCACACCAAGGCTGGGAGCATTCAGCCCGACACGAGTGCTCACGGACGGACCATAGTCACGGGGCAGCACGTTCTCCGTGCTTCTCTGTGTGGGCAGAGAGAGGAGCACATCCCCACCTCCCAAGGTGCGTTTCATCTTCCGTAATGGTCAGCTGCGCGCTTTGGGTTTTACATTTAAATCACGGAGCCACTGAACATGATTCAAGAGCAGTTGACCCCAGAGGGAGGTCTTACTAGAACAGAAACTAGACGTCCCTGACTTTGTCATCACCTGTCAATGTAATAAAACTAAACTCACTTCATGTTGTGGTGGCTCTTCATTTATATAGGAAAATACTCCAAGTAACCGAATCAATGTAAAAAGGGTGAATTTCCAGAAGGTGTTCTGGTTTCTGTGATGTGGGGACCAGCCGGCTGTTGGTGTCACCTCGTGGTCACCTCCGAAGTGTCTGCACTGCGCGGCTCATTCCTTAGTTCCTACCGCCACCTGCATGCTAGAAAGATCAGGAGGAGAGTCACTGTCTAGCAGAGTGTCACCGAGTGCCCACGAGGTTCCGCAGTGCCCCTTGGTTTAAGTGCTGCATTTTGTAAGGCACAAAAGGGACCGGTACCTGGGGTCCGTGCTGTGGAAGGTTTCCTGCATGGAACTTCAACTCAGTTGACACTCGCTGCAAGCCGAGCTCTCCAAGGTGCCCGCCAGGGGAGGGTTCAGCCTGCGTGCTCCTGTTTCTGAGTCCTGCCCTTCATCCCGCTCCCTGCTCTGAACACCTCCGGCTGACTCTTTTCTGTCTGGAGCAGATGATCGACAGGATCTGTGTGAAAGTGCAGGACCACCTCAACTCCCTCCGCAACTGCGGGGGGGACGCCATCCAGGAGGACCTGAAGACGGCGGAGCGGCTCATGCGCGATGCCAAGAACTCCAAGACGGTGAGTGACCTCAGACTTCCTGAGAGCCTGGGGCAAAACAAGGGTTTTCACAACTGAAACTCCGCTCTTCCATCAGCGCCGAGTTACGGCCAAGTGCCAGGTGAACTGAGTTAGTCCCTCCTTTCTCTACTCGCACCGACCCCCGAAACCAAAACGCAGAATGAAAAGCAGAGACCGGGGGTGCCTGCCTGTGACCCCAGTGACGAGGGCTGAGGCAGGGGGATTGACTTCAAGGCCGCCGGGCAACCCAGATCCTGGGGGTGTAGGGGTTGGAAGAGTAGCCCCCGTTCAATTCCCAGCATCCTCCTCCCTCCAGAAAACCTGGCCCAGTGTGATTCACAAAGGGCACAGCTGGACCGTGAATGGCCACAGGCAGTCGTAGCTGAAACGAGTGAAAAGTCATTTAAAGTCATCGTCCTTCCAACCTGAGACACCTCTGTCTCCCCGAGAGGGAAGCTCTCTCAGATGAGCATCTGGTCTCCAGGAGCACTGCCGAGGGTCCCGGGGCCTGGGAGTGGGATCCCATGAACGTCAGGGGCCCTGAATGAGGAGCCTGGAGGAGAGATCAGAGACTCGGGGGACACGGTGACAACTGCATGTCACTCTTGGTCCCTGGTTCCTGGCACAGAGCTCCGAGAACACCTGGAATTTCCCAGGTGACAGAGGTGATGGGGACATTTTCCCACGTGGCCACACCAGAGTTTGTCCTAATGAGACCTCTCTTGGTGGCCTCCGGAGGAGCTGCCTGAGCTTAGAGCCTCACCGGTCAGCCCCACCCCAGGCTTCCCTGGAGAGCGGTCACCAGCGCAGGCCCTAATCAAGCATCCCTCAGTGTAGGGCCCCACGGCTCTGAACAGCGAGGTGCGGACGGCTTCTTGGTGGACCACTGGGCGGTGGGCAGTGGCGTGCCTGGCCCCGGCAGGCCCTCACGCCCACCGGTGCTGTGTACTAGATGTCACCAGCCGGCACCTGACCTGGGCTGCTCCTAGAGAGCCCGTCCCTGTGGGATCGGACCTGCTCCAGGCAGACGGTCTCAGGATGGGGATGGATTTTAGGACATCCTTTCCCTGTCTGCAGGGGGCTGGAGAATCTCCTGGTGCCATTTTGACTCACGCTTCTGTCATACTTTTGGGAACAGAAATGTGAGTAAAAATAGCTCAGTGCTCCCACCCCAGGCAAGGACATGAGAGCAAGGACGGGTGGACGGTTCCCTGGCTGCAAGCTGCTGCGAGGCAGAGTGGCCAGCGAGGACCTGCTGACCCCGCTCTAGTGTTTCCCAGGGCCGCTGTGACTCACTGAGTGAAAGTACGTGCAGATGACGAGTCGGGGCCATGTTTGTTGATCTGCACTCCAGGCCCTTGATGGAGACTAGCTCATCCCTGATGGTACATTTCCACCCTGTCAGTAACTCTGCAGTGACTTTGTGCCTTTTAGAATATTTTTTGTTCAACTCTGGAAAGTTACTTTCTATTTTTCTTCCAGTTGTTACCAAATTTATACCACGTTGGTGGTACCTCCTGGGCAGGAGCCACTGGCCTGATGTCCAGCCCCATCCATGAGACCCTGGAGTCGATGGCTGGGGAAGTCACGAGAGTTGTGGACGAGCAGCTCAAGGTGTGTGGTCTGCGGTTTGGAAGCGTGATCTGTTCACCTTCACTGTGTGTGACAGGTGTGGGTGGGTGGGTGCCCTCGCCTGTGGGGGCACAGGCAGGAAGGGGTGACTCGGGTCTTTTCCATCTTTATTTGTGTTTTGGAGTGACTTCTTGCAGAATGGATTCTAGTGAAATCCAGTTTCTGTTTTGCCGGTGAATCTCTCCATGTGGCAGGTTGTCACTGATGAGGGAATGATTGACGTGTCCTTCCAGGGTGCAGCGCGGTTGGCTTGGGAGGGACGTCTCCGGTCACTGCAGCTGGTTAGGAGTGGGCAGCCACAGGAAGTGTGCGCACAGCACCTTGGTGCTGCTGTCTGGGGTAGGACGAGGTAGGTGGACGGCCATCCTGCCTGGGCTCCAAGCCCAGGGAGAGATCTGGAAGGAGTTTCAGGCTCCCAGAGCAGCCCAGATCTGCAGCAGGTTTACTCAACAAAAGTACAGATGAAAAAAAGCTTTGAAATTTTAGTATTTTTGAGTAACCTAAGACTCACCTTGTTCTTTAAGAAATTTCAAAGAAACAGCTACTCCAGAAGAAACTTCACATTCACCAGGTTTTTATTACTCCCGGCCTGGCTTTTAAGGATGCCTTTACAACCCTGCCTCAGTTTCTGAGACCATTTGGTCTGTTTTCTTCTGAGAACACAGTTGCTGTACCTCGTAGAGATCTGATGTGCAACTCAGTGATAACTCTGCAATTGCTAATTACTCTCTCTGAAAATTAACTTAATGAAGAAGAGATTGTTGTGGATCTTTAGGTGTTTAAGTCCCCGTCTTCTGTGACTGTAGTACTCTTGTGCGTAGTTTTTGTTTTATTAACTATGGTTATTTTTAACTCATGCTGAGCAGAGACAGAGAGGTAGAAAAGGCCGATTGTTACTTAAGAGCCTATGTATCCTCTGTGATGACCCATGGCTGGTCCCAGTGGTATCCATGATTTCTACTTTCATGCATTTGCAAGGGCTGTCCAGTAGTACGGTTGCTCATGTTGCATACTCAGCGATACTGAGTAGAGCTTCTCAATCTTATTGTTGTAGTGCATTCAGAAAAGTCACATTGTTTCTTTTGAATTTCTTTAATCACTGGGATGCATCATGAAATTTTATTATTTGTTTTTCTTCTATTGTACATTGCCCATTCACACCCTTGCCTTTCTAAAGTATTTGCAAAACTTTCTTCCCTAGTGGGCACTGACTGGCGGTTAAATTGGCAGGGAAGCTGTGGCAGGACCTGTCCATGAGACAGCTGCAGACGGCCAGCTGTTGCACCGGGTGCTCATCCGCCCGAGTCCCTTTCCATCCTCCTGCAGAGTGGTGGACGTCCACTGGTTAGTTTTTCCTGGGAGGAACTAGAATGCAAATATCTGAAATGAAAGGCATTTGAATTTTCAAAGACCTGAGAATAGGAGCACAGCCAGGGCCACCAGTGCTTTCCTGTTCTTAGGCATTCCCTGTGTCCCACTGTTTTTGTCCCAATCACCCCCTTTATTTCCAAGAACCACAACAGCTTCTCTGGGTGTCTCCCAGGCCCGGGCCCCAGTCCTGGAGGCCTGTCTTTCCCTGCTCCCTGTTGGCATCATTCCCAGTCCTTCTGAGTGTCCCTCGCCCGTGGCTGTCTGTCTCCCGTCTCCTTCCTTCTCGTTCACCTGACGAATGTGCAGCCATTTATTGGTCTCTTACAAACTGCTCATTTTCTAATGCATTCTGCGGTCATATGTGACAAACTAGAATAAAAAATAAATTTAGAAGCTGCCTATTTTTCTTTTTCTAATGACTTTGCAATGCACTGGTTTTCTTAAAATTTTGTAAGAAAGATGTATTTTCAGTCGTCGTCCCCCCCCCCCACCCCATCCTGGGGATGGAACCCAGGGCCCTGTGCATGCCAGGCAGGCTCTCTACCAACTGAGCTATGTCCCCAGCCCAAGAAAGATGAATTTTCAATATAACCGGTACTCACTGTCTTATCAATACAGTGGTCCTGACTCATGTCACTGCCAGTATCAATTTTCATGTGTCTATTTTCCAAATTTTCTAAAATTAGCATTTTCTACTATTAAAAGCCAAAGCAGATGGATTACTTTTTAAGTTTTGTATTATGGAGAATGGGGAAAGAGCAGCCAGGAGAGTCAGGCCGCAGGGCTGGATCAGTGTCCCTGATTCGCCCCTGCCCAGTGGGTGCTCTGAGCAGATGCTGGACAAGTTTCCCCGTGCAGGATTGTCCGGGTGTCATGGGGCTCGGAGGGGGGCTTCCGTGTTTGATGGTTGGCTGTTGTAGCCAGGGATGGGCATTTTGAATATTGGATAAGAACATGCTCAAGTCGTTCTTTGAGCCATCTTTCAAAAGCATTATTTCAGAAAGCACGAGAAATGGCCACATCAGCCGCTTCCTCTGCAGGCGCTGGAGGACCCGGGGCATCCTGTTTGCAGGAATCCCCCCTTTGAGAGAGGCCATGTGCTCTGGACTGGCCTGCCTGGGGTGCTTTGAGTGACATTCTACTCTCGTTCTCCGTCTTTTGATCCTAGCATTTTTTCCTGGAGCAATAGTAGATGAGTAAATGGGATTTGAATGTTTTAACATAAGGAAGCTTTGATTTTTCTCTTCTGCACTTAAGTTTTAGGGTATTTGTTTTGGCTTGGGAAATTCTTGATTCTATTCAGGGCTCTAACGGGGAACTATTTCACTGAAAAATTTCAAATTTACTCAGGATATGAGATTTGAAGGATTTAAGTAGCATTTGTTAAATATTAACTCAATTTGGCCTCGGAAAGCCTATGAGTTTTTCTTTTTTCTACACTTTTTCCAAGGCAAAAGGAAGAAGGCTTTCAGCACAGGTGAGAGTGGAGGTTGTATTTGTAATTTGTTTTCTTGTTGCAAGAGTGAACCGGTGGTACTGCATGCTAAGGTCTGACTCCAGTTCATTCCACAGAGATCACAGATGTCCTGGGTACCCCTGGTGATTTCATAATTAAGAACTACAGATCCTTTTAACTGTAATCAGGGAGAAACTTACAAAATGAAACCTGATCATCCGCCTTTGAAATTCAGGCCCTGATCATTGCCAGGTGGCAGGTAGCCAAGTGCAGACTGACAGAAGAGGAAGACGAGGGGAAAGTGAAGGAGCGTGGATGGAGCCAGGGAGTCCACGGAAGTCTGATTTAGATTTCCAGAAGAAAGAAAGCAGGGAAGAGTGTAGGCAACGTTTGAAGTCTGTGGCTGAGAATTTCCAGGACTGACACAGACCTGAGTGTTTTGATGGAGGAAGCAGGAGAGAGCAAGGCAGACTTCCACCTGAACTTCCAGCACTGTTGAGGGGCCTTGAGAAAGTCACTCGCCTCCTCTGACCCAGTTTACCCATGTGTGAAACAGGGTGCCCAGGTCGGCCTTCACTCAGGGGTCAGTGTGTGGATGGAAGGAATCATGGATAGAAGGACCAGGGGTGGAAAGTGCTGTATCCTGTCGGCGGGTGGTGGGTGCAGGTGGGAACTAACTGCAAAAGGTTTGGCCCTGATTTGGGGTTTCTGTGATCTGGGAAATCTTGTTGGCCAGCTGATATGGTTTCTAGGTCTGGAGTTCCCCTCTCTAAGTTTCTACTCCAGGGCCAGGGAGGGCGGTGTGCTGGGCAGGTTGCTGTCCAGAGCTGATGTTTGCATTTTCCATCTTCCATTTGTGGCCCTGCATGACGCTCAGCTGCCACACCAGAGTCCTTCAGAAGCCACAGTGACGCTTTTATGGTCCTGCCATGTGTCTGATTTACAGTGACTTCCTGAGATCTGTGATCTCGGCAGTCAGTTCGCCCTGGGCCCTGGACTCCGTGTGTCCCTGTCCTCTGGGTACAGTGTCATAGGAGCAGTGCCGTCACCCTCTGTGTCCCCTGCAGGCCCTGCTGGAATCCATGGTAGATGCTGCTGAGAACCTCTGCCCCAACGTGATGAAGAGAGCCCACATCCGGCAAGACCTGATTCATGCCAGCACTGAGAAGATCTCCATCCCTCGCACCTTTGTTAAAAATGTGCTGCTGGAGCAGTCTGGAATCGACATCCTAAACAAAATCAGGTAGGCTGGCCACCGCGTTCCTGAGCAGGACCTGCAGGGTCTGGCCCGGCGAGGCCGCGTGAGGTGTCGTGGGCGGAATCCTCCCCGGGCGCTATGCCCAGGCTCGTCTGGTCGGCAGACTGTCTGCAAACGCAGCTGTGCATAGACGCACAGGTTCATGCCTTTCCAACACGAAGGCCACTCGTCTGCCTGCGCGACTCAAGAGCATGGTGTTATTGGCTCTCTTTGAGGATTTTATATCGAAGGGGGATGGTACACGTTTGTAACTGCTGGTTTCTGAGAGTCATCTCTTAGCTTTCTAAATTGCTAGCTTAAAGATGGAAGAGTTGGCTTTCTATCACCAAACTATCAACAGAAAGTGCACAGCTTAGAGTCAGAGGCCCACTGTGACCATGTCACATTTTCTTTCCAGATCATTTTACAGAAAGTGCACAGCCTAGAGTCAGAGGCCCTCTGTGACCATGTCACATTTTCTTTCCGGATCATTTTGGTGGGTCTGTGCTAATGTGCTAATGACGTCTCTGAAGTATTCATATGTCTGTTTGAAAAAGTTTCAAGAATATGCCCTCATAGAAGCATTCGGCTGTGATGGTTGACAAACCTTCCCGAGCTTCTGCAGAGAGCTGTGGAAGACACTAGCACTCCAGGACAGCACAGCCAGGTCCCATTGTGTTTGTTTCTCTGTTGGAGAATCGGAGGGCTAATAGCCAAGCTCGGAGCATTTAAAATTTTCCATTTTAACCATTTCTGAATATTGATGGGACTATTTTGATGTAGCAAAGATACTGTCTAGAGAGTTGGGTTGGTGCTGACACATAAAGGTGTAGGTAGCTGAGTGAGGATCTTCACAAGAGCAGAACGAGTCCGGCCAGACCCACCACGAGGCCCTGAAGGCACTTGGAGGCTGCAGTGACCTGACAGTCTCGGGTCCAGGATGCAGCTGCTGCGTTTGTTTTCTGTTTTACACTAAAGCTCCCAGAGCCTTTCAGCTGAATTGTCAGCAGCTGGGAAGACCTGAGGGTGTAAAGCGATTTCCAGAAGCCAGGCATGGTATCGCACGCCTGTGATCCCAGTGGCTTGGGAGGCAGAGGCAGGAGGACACAAGTTCAGGCCAGCCTCAGCCACTTGGTGAAGCCCTGAACAATTTAGTAAGTCCCTGAAAATAAGAAAACATAAACAGGGCGAGGGATGTGGCTTAGTGGCTGTATGCCCCTGGATTCAATCCCTGGTGCCAAAAAGAAGAGAGATTTCCAGAGAGTTAGGTTGGCAAGTTTAAGAACTCCAACTCCCGCCCTTATGTATTTCTAATATCTGTGGTTTCAGATGTTTTTATTGAAAGAAATTGTTTAAGTATTACATATTTAAAATATAAACGGAATATAAAATAGTATATTAAATGTCTCTCTTGAAAAGTAAGAACAAAGATACTTTGGCCACACTCTTTCCTCTTGGTGGGTTTGCCCACCAACACATCCCTCTCAGGGGTCTTTGCTGGGGTATCACATTCCCCTGAAAATGGAAGATGCAGAGGGCTGACACAGGGTGCAGCTCTTCACGTCCCCGGACTCCCTAGTTGGCTTCTTGTCCCATACTGAGCGCAGTAGTGACGGCAGGGCGCTCCTGCGGCTGCAGGTGCACGTTCCTGTGCACACGGGGTGAGCGGCACCCTCCCGCAGAGCTCTGCACCCTGAGCAGTCAGGAGGACTGACAACCCGAGGCGTGAACAGATCACATTTTTTGGAGTCTGTCTTCCTGGTGCTCCAATCTGAAACAGACAAACCACCGCTTCCCACCTTCAGAGAGTGGGGGAGAGAGAGGAAAAGCCCACGGAGCTGAGTTTTATGAGGAAGTAAAATTCCTGGGCAGGCCTAAAGAGAATCGAGGAGATACTCGTTAAAGTCAGATTCCCGGCCTCCCGGGAGGTTGGCGCACTCGGGAACCTGTGTTTCCAATATGGCACCCGGGGCATTCTTACCAGGGGACGCTGTGCCGAGGAATAGAGCATCAGATAAACTGAAAAGCTCGTGAGGGCTCCATCCCCTCATCTTCTGCGTGGGCAGCTCTCCCGTCGGCATCCGAGCCTGAGTGCTTCTGTTCTCCTCCCATCATCACAGTCTTCCTGGAAGAGAAGCTGCGAGCCTGATTGCTACCTGTAGTTAGAAAGAGCTTTCCCTGTTTCCAAACACCCACCGTTCCACCTTGGCTTTACGATAAATGACTTCATTTTGACAACTTCTTTACCTGCTCTAAAGACGCGCAGATTGCCGACTTCAAAAGAAGGCCGACCCTAAGAGACGGGATTGGACTGTGGGTACTCCTCTCTCTGGCACATTTGAATTATTGGGTACTTATAACAACTGTTCAGATGTGCATTAAAGCAGAGCTGTTAGGCCTGGAAACACACATGGAAGCTGAATTCTTATGAAGACCACATTGTTAAATGCTAACTAAAATACCAGCTGGAGGACAGAAACCTTAGTGGCCAAGTCTGTTGGCAAAAACTCCAAACCCCTTCTGTTTGGGCAGCTTTCTGAGGTCAAGTAAAAGGCACTCAAACTGAAAATTCTAGTGACCACTGTTCCTAAAAGGTAAAGACTCAGTGCATTGTACCTTTTCATTGTAAGCTGGTCAAAGCAGAAGCAGTGTAATATGGTACCATTTGAAGGTTTTTTTAAAAGGCTGGGGATATGCATGTTAAAATCCTAACCAAGCCTCAACAAGCCGACTAGACTTTGCTCCAGCCTGGGTCTGCTTTTGTTCACACCAGTGGGTGACCTGTGTCTGGTGCACGTGGCTCCCCTCCAGCCCGTCTTTATGCAGATGTCGTTCATTCCCACCATTACATCTCCAGCTGTGAAGGGAGAGAGGCAGGTTTCAGTGGGTAAAGAAGGTCACACCTGGGTGTTTATGGCCGTCCTCAGGCCTATTTTGGGGGTTCCTTCCCCTGTCACGTTCATGCCGTCCCTTTTCAAAGACAGACCTTATCATCACGGGGGTGGGGTGGGGGGGCAGGTCTACCCAGCTCAAGGTCAAATGCTGTTCTCCCTTTTGATTTCCACACAGTGAGGTGAAGCTGACAGTGGCCTCCTTCCTGTCGGACCGGATCGTGGACGAGATCCTGGACGCGCTGTCGCACTGCCATCACAAGCTGGTGAGTGCTGTGCACGTGTGGGACGCTCTCCCGGGCGGGCCGCCCGTGTGCCGGTGACGCTTCTTTCCCACATCCTGGCAGGCTGAGTTCTGGTTTCCTCCTTCCCCTCCGCTGGCCCCAGCCATCCTGCAGCGCGTCAGAATCTCTCTGTTGGGACAGGCAGGGCACAGCAGAAGCCATCAGACCCGATATCTTGCTCTTCGTTTAGGATGCAGGTCAAAAGTTTTGGTAGGAGATAATGTTGAGGCCAAAGTCTAAAATTCACATTTTTTAGTACATTTATGTATTTGGATATGATTATTTCTGAACGGACTGTTCTTGACAACATGAGGGAAGTGGAATGTTTGGAGTTCAAAGAAAATATGAGAGAAAACTGGGGCAGAATCCCAAGATGGATAGGTGCTAAATGCCCGTCAGGTACCTTGGATAGAACCACAATGAAAAAATAAGTTTCCTTCAGACTAACCAAAGCACGGGGACTGCATTTCCAATTTCAGTGCATATGAAAAGTACATCAGAGAATTTCATGTGCGGAACTCGAAGTCCTGTGAGACACGGGTGAGGGTTTACAGCTGGTTATATCTTGTGTCTCCAAAATATTAGCAACATGGTACAGCAGAAATCTTCCAGGTGATTTATGACAGAGAATTTATGTTTTCTCCAGAGAAAGTATTTCAGGTTAACTGTGTGGGCAGAGACACCCAGTTTTATGGAGGTGAGTTTTGGGGTGATAATAACAGAGAAGAGCAGAACAGTTTCTTCTGCATGCAGTAGACAGAAGAGAATAATGTAAAAGACTCTCTTCCAAAATCCAGAAGATCAGGCGTCCCTGGCACTGCTCAGACGCTGCCTGGGAATGGGGTTGGCCACCAGAGAGCGGTTACCAGAGCACCCTGATCCTCAGCTCAGGAGACATCAGGAAACTTCCAGACCAGTTCCACATGGATACAATATCCAAACCACATTTTTTTTTCAATTGTTTTTGTTTGTTTTGCTTTATCAACGTGTTGGTTTGTGCCAATCTGGATTTAAAATCCTGATTCATCACCACGTTAAGCCGAAGAAGCTCTTTCCTGGCACAGGGAGGAGACACGTCATGCAGTCTCCCAACGCAGACTTTCCTTTTGTAAAAAAATAAGCACAAGTAAAATCCAGAGAATCCACTGTAGAAACAGTTGCTGGGTAGACCACCGCTCTAGGAACTGCCCCAAGACGCTTTCTCACGACACAGACCCTGGGCACTGTATCAGCGTGTGTGTGACAACCACCCTCAGGTCTTTGTGTTTTCCTTCCTGGAGGAATTTACTCAAAAAGTATTGACATTTTCTTGTCATTTAATTGGAATGAATTGAAAAATAATTGCAGGAGTGCACTTATGTTGTTGTCTTAAACGTCCTCTTGACATGATAATCTCTTGTTATACAACGTGAGATTCAGTCCTGCGTGAAGGAAATGGTGTCCAAGCTGGGACTGTGTGCAGTGCGCTTCAGGCACGCTTTCTCCACCTGAAGTCTGCAAGTCGACCCCGCGGCTGCTCCTCACTGTTTCAGAAGAAGCCAGATTTCTGGTGTCAGATCTGTGCAGCTCTGGAACCTTCTAATGACAGCCCTGCTCATTCCACCTCTTCACATTTAATTTTGATTTATGTTGAAAATATAAAAATGGAAATAGTAAGTCATATCAAATACGTTATATCTTATAGGAAAACGAGCAGTAATTATAATTCCTAAGTAATTTTTGGTCTTTTAAAAATACTTAAAGTTGCAATCATTTTATTTGTCTCAGTAGAGACTTTTAAGCACTAGACCATAAGCTCTATGAAATCAATCAGGCAATAGGAAATTGGATTTCTAGCAGATTAGGTACGAGCAAATAAATTAGTCATAGATATAAACAGTCTCAAATAAAATCAGAAGAACACTGCCTGTTTTATTGGACCAAGCAGTCTCCTCATCTGTGAAGGGAGGTTTGTCATAGAGTGGTGACGAAAGGCAGGTGGCTCCGGGTGGCCCTGTGGGGAGCTGCTGTCCTGAGCCCCCCATCCCGCCCTGCCGTAACTGCTCTGGTGGTCTTCCCCCTGCAGGCCGACCATTTCAGCAGACGCGTGCAGACCCTCCCTCAGCAGGAGCCTGTCGAGGCCGAGCTGGCCGAGAAGCCGCCCAGGCGCTCCCTGGTGCCAGCGGAGGACCTGACGGAGGCGGAGCGCTTGGAGGACCTGGACGCGTGCATGGTAAGACACGGCCTGAGCGGCCACCCCACCCCCCTGGGCTGCACTGCTGCGTGTTAACAACCTCCAGTGTTTGAAATCAGAGGAACCACACTCCCCACCCCACGCAGACATTGGCTCAGAGGCTGCTGGCACCCGGGGCGACAGCCCCTTTCGAGGGGTACAGAGCCCGCCTGGCATGCCTCCTGGGAGGACGGTCCCTGAACTGATGAGGAGGAGATTATGTAACTTTACAGATCCTCTGTGATAGGAAAGTGTCTTCAGACGAGGCTCCAAAAGATATGGAGAAGGACGTTTTCCACGAATAAAGTGTGCTGGGCGACTGTCTCCCTGAGTCGACCGTTTTTTGTTTTTCTCTCTGCTGTAGCTCCCTGCTCTCTTGCTGCCACTTGTTGGCCCCCTTCACATTTGGATCTCTGGTTCATGCGAGACCCTTCCCATCCACTGACGAGATGTACTTGTGAGGCTGCGGCACACGCTACCTGTTCACCTCACAGCAGGTCTCCCTCCTCACCCAAGTGGTGCGTCCCGTTGGCTAGAGAACCAGAGCCATGTGATGGTGCACAATTTCATGGCAACACTTGGTTCATTACTTTAAAATTGTTATTACTGTTAAGATGTCTCCCACCTTATCATGAAAACAGTTATATGAGGTGGACACAGTGGCACACGCCTTTAGTCCCAGTCCCCTACTGGGGACACTGAGGCAGGAGGATCACCACGTTCAAGACGATCCTGGCCAATTTTACAAGACCCTGTCTCAAAATGAAAGATAAAACATGCTGGGAATACAACTCAGGGTAGAGAGCTAGCCTAGCTGCATGTGGCCCTGGGTTTCCCCATCACTGCAAACAGACAACATCAGACAGAACAAACCCCAGTCAGCTGTACGTGAGTCTGTTTCACCTCTGTGTCCAGTGGGCCTTACGAAAATATTCGACTTTAGCAACTCCTTCTGATCTGAGGGCATGCTGTGAGACTGGGTTTACTCATATGTCCAAATCTTTCTACATTAGTTTCTGAATTTAGTCAATTTTACTTGCAGCCGTTGTTAAGGAATGGTGCTCATTTTTAACTTTCAAAACCAAGGGTCTGGTATGGAGAATATTGTTTTTCCAACCTGAAAGACAATGTAATGCACTGAAGTTCCTTTTTTTTCATAAAACACTGTTATCATTTTCTTAGATCCTGTGAATAAAGTCCCCATGGGAAGCCCTATCCTCTACCAGGAGAGCAGCAAAGAAAGCCTCCAATAAAATCCAGCATTTCAAGCAAATGCTTGAATCACCAGAAAAAGCTGAAAAATAATTTCTATGCAACTATATAAGTCTACAAATATATTCAATATGTATGTAGGAGATTATTAGTTTTTTAGAACCTCGCTAGTCCATTATGTTGTCAAATCGGTATTTAGTAAATATGTTAGGTTTTTTTTTTTTTCATTTTGAGGCATTGGAAGGCACGCACTGTATCATCACAAGGTAACTGTCCCCGATGTGAATTAAAAGTGGAGCACCAGCTGTACTGTGCACGTTCCCACCAGGATGCTTTGTAAGATGGAAAGGGACAATGGGAATATCGGTTCGGGGCTCGGGGTGCTGGCTGCGGGGGACTGGCTCCTCCGTGGTGACGTGGCTTTGGTTTTATGATGCTGCTTGTAGTAGTTTGGTTTCTCTTACTTTGTTTTTCAAGAGGAAGGGAAAAGCTGTTCCCTTTAACTAGAGCTGGTGGGGTGAGGGTGGAGGAGAGGGGACCTTTCTTGAAGGCAGGAGCAGGGCCACCATCAGCACCTGTGGGAGAGCTGAGCTGCGGGCTGTCTGCAGAGTGGCGCCCCGACCCAGCAGGTGGGAGGACCTCAGGATTAGGAGGGGCCTTCCCCAGCTCAGAGGGCCAGGGTGTAAGCACGAGGGCCTTTCCTGAGACGAGCACCCGCTGAACACTGGGGCCACCAGCAAGGTGGTCTCAAGTGGGTGACGGAGACACAGGGCAGATCTCCAGAAAATGACAACAGCAGATACTTAGGCAAGCAGGACTTTTGTTGTGAAAATAGCAATTTTTGTTCTAAAATTTTTTTTCTTCATTCCTCTGGCGAGGATAATAAGTACTTAAGTAGCAGAAAGCTGGAGTTAACTTGCTACTAGTTTAATGAAAAATAATAACTTTTGTGTAAGAGGTGCCAGTCAGTGCATTAGTGCCGTGACAGTCTCCTCTTCACCTGCAGCCTGCCTGTCCGTCCTCAGCCACCCCAGAGAGCACCTATGGGGGCTGTGGTCTCATTCTGAGCCAGTGTACTACTCTCGGCTCACTGAGAAGTAGCTTGGTCTTTTGAAAAAGCCCTGCCCTGTCACCTCTCGAAATCAAAATGCAAATCATCAGTTCCTCCCCAACAGCTCTTCCCAAACATTTTAGTTCAGGGCTCGTAGTTCAAAGGAAGAGGCCTCTGTGACCATTTTCTAAGTGGGTGTGAGGGTTTCCCTCAGAAGCATTTCATCCTGAGTGATGGAGGATGTCAGGGCCCAGATGGATGGCTGTGTGGATGACCATCAGCGTCCCATGAGCATGGCCTTCCCCACCTGGAGCTAGAGGGCTGGTGGGCTTCCGGGCTGCAGCTGGAGCCTGTGACATTGTTAGGGGATATGTGTGCTTGTAGCTCAGATAATGTGAAGCTCTCCATAGGGTCTTGCAAAGCCACTGTGACAGGTCACCACCTCTACCTGCTGATGTGGGCCTTGGTCCTGGCTCTTGCCCAGGAGGGACATGATGTCTACTAACTGCAATTTCTGAACATTTCTTTAGCAAAGTTGGTAGAGATTCTGAGTTCCTCTTTGTTTTTCTTTTCCTATCCTTGGATTTGTAATCTTCATGCTTTCTCCTCGGTCCAAAAGTCAGTGCCGTTCAGTGCTTAAGTCTCTGTAACGAACCAGTATTACGATCCCAGCAGAGAAGGTTGAGGGCGTGTTAGGCAGATATTCATGTTGATTGGAATTCAAGGATTACCTTCCAGGACTTGGGAACAATAATCCAATCCATATTATTGATTTCTTTGGAAGAAATCCCGGACTTACTCGGCTGTGTCTGCGTGCGAACTGAAATAAGAACACTGAGTGACAGGAGGGGCCTGTGGGCTGCTGGAGGTTGGCTGGGTCTGGTCAACCTCAGTTCCACAAAGTTACGAACAAAACAGAACCAGGGGAGGCAGAGAAAGGAGTCATTTTCTAAATATTACTGGTGTCCAATCAGATGAATTATCTTTTTCTTTTAACTGGAAAGAAAGTGAGGGCAGTCTAGCTCATCAGGAAGGGTATGGTGGAGAGTGGGGACAGAGCAGTCAGAAGAATGAAGTTTTTCCAGCCTGTATCTGCACTCATGGTCCCTGAGCTTCCCCAGGTCCCTTCAGCTACAGGCGGAAAAATCACACGCTGTAAAAAGCCATCTTTTTCATGTATCGGGGACCTACCTAGACCTGCCACCTGCCGGGCACTTCTCTGCTCTTCACAGCAGTGAGCCACCGAGTCCTCATAGCAGCCTGTGAATAATGAAGCTTATGAATGTCACCACTTTAGCAAATGAAGAAACGGAGGCAGAGAAAATGCAGTCACTTACCCAAGTTACCCAGGGTCAACCAACGGCAGGCCTTCGGGCGCTCGGGCCTGTGCCTGACCAGTCGGCTGTAATTAGTATGTGGATTGCGTCCACTGTCTGTCTCTCACAATCAGAATGAGTTTTCATTAAGCTGAATCAGACTGAATTGGTTTCTGTAACTGCCAGCTTACCAACCCCCATGCAATGAGCAAGGGAGGAGCAGTGCCAGTGGGGGGTGCAGGGGCTGGGGGGGACGCGGGGGGCTGGGGGGCTCAGGGCTACACTGCCACAGCAGAAACCGCTGCTTGGGAGACATGTCAGAAATCCACAGGCCCCATATGTCCTGTTGTTGGTGATGAAGTCCACCCACTTGTGGCTGAGCAGAATGTCCCAGGCCTCTCCATGTGTCTCTGCTGATGACAGTGACTCCTTGCATCCCTGTGTGCTGCTTATCACTTCAACACACAGCTCAGGTCAGGCTGGACTGGGTCTTTCCGTGGGGTCCTACTGTCCACAGGCCATCTGTCCTTCCCCGAAGTCCCGTGTCTTAGGAAATCAGTTCCCCAACTCCGGTTTCTCTCTGGCCCTTGGGGTCTGGGAGGCTGCAAGTTCTCCAGCTTCTGGTTAATTATTTCTACCTATTTAATTTGTCACCAGATGTAACATGCTGCCTTTAAACAGCAGCAGGTTGGGTTTTGCCGAGTGGCCAAGTGGGGGCAGAACCAGTGTCTGCCCCCGAGGCCCCAGCAGCTCACTAATTGTGTGTGACTCTCTCACTTATCCTAATGAGTGTCTTACCAATTTAAATCAAAGGATTTTCATGCAGAGAGCAGTTCATCTGCTCACTGCAATTTCCTAGGAATAGCAATTTAAAAGGCTTGAATTACTGTGGAATATGTTTTTGTGAATCCTGTCTCCACTGATGAAGCAGCAATTATTTTTCCTTAACAATTTCAACCTCAAATTTCAATGTATGATTTTTAAGCTTTTTAATATAGACTGAAATTTAGCAAAGGACTAGTTGACTTGGTCTAATACTAATTTTTAACCAGTTTAAACCAATTACTTCATTTTCTGGTACCAACTATTATAAATTGAACAAATCTATTAACAGTGCTACCAAGTACAGACTCTTGTCAGTATGTCTCGTTTATATATTGTCAGAATATCTCATTTAAAGTCAGCTGCACTGATATTAGTTCAGAAGGTTGTTCAAATCAGAATTACTGGTTTCTTGTAATTTTATTCTGTGACGTTCTTATTGTTAGCTTTAGAAAATGGAGGTATGACTTTTAAAGCACTGGAATGCATATGAAGGACATTGTATGTTCTTCAAGATTTCTGATCAATTTAGTGACCGCCCTCTGTGCAAATGTAGGGGGCACACCCCACATGTGGGAGAATTCTTCTGGTTCCTTGAG